CGATGCTGCTCCGGTAGCAAAACTCGCGTGTAGGTGCTTCAGATAAACTCCCTTGACGCCCCCCACAGTAACAGAATCTTCAAATTGAGGCGACCGAATTGTAAACCCAACCCGTTTTATTTATACTAATGTCTTTTAAGGTAAAAAATATTACTTGTATAATAAGTACAAAAGCATACAAATATGGGTGTAAGATAAGGAAGAAGTATCGTTCATCTAATAACTAAAAATAAAAAAATTGGTTATTAATGGCAAATATCCCCCCATAAGACAATCTATGTTCAGCAGTAGACTTTTGGTAGACTGTAAATTTAAAGATAACCTGTTAGTGAACTGCCATGTTGAATGAGCATAAATATCAGACCAAATTGTATGCAAGGTGTCTGATTTTACAAACATCAATCTGTGTACCAAAGCGATTGTGGCAAATCCTCTGGGCTGCCTATTTGAGGCAGGGGACCATTTACAGCCTTTTAAAATAAGGTAAGTACCTGGTGTGATGGTATCCACTGCAAAATAATATCTCTTTCTTCAGAGTTAATAGGCACAATCCGTCTACGGTGTGCTCTTAACATTGAAGATCCACATGGAATACAAATATTCCTGTACCCAAATCTTCTAATGGAGTGAGCTGATGCAACACTTTCTTGCAATATTCTTAGGCAGTTACAACAAACTGCATCAAGTGGGTGTAACTGAAAAAATCAGGAATTAAAAATAAAAGAGTAAATAAATATTAAGTTCAGATAAATGTACATTTTGAGGAGGGAAGCGAAGTTGGCATGAAAGTGAATGTTTGATGTGGAACCCTATATTATTTGAAATACAATACATTTTCAATTAAAAAAAAATTGGAAATCCAAAAGACAAATATCGATTAATATATTATGATTTTACAATATTTACAGTATTTCAGGTATATCATATAGTGATAAATAAACTTTATAATATTAGAGTATTATGGAGTTGTGTAATATTAGTAATATATGGGCCTATGTTCGGCAGTGGAGTTTAATTGGCTGTAACGGTAATATTACAGTGGATTGAAATATTTTTCATTGCACAAAATAACTTACTTTTCTATTTACATAATATTTTATCCTTAGAATAAATATTGACACATATATACCTATACTTTTTCGACTTTGATTTCTGATTGACTGACAAAAGATAATTAGACACACATAACATGTGATACATCATACCATGCCACAAAAACTTCTTTTGTGTATATTGTGTGACTTTATTTTATCTATTATTTAAATTAGATTTCACTAATAACATAAAACTTCAATACTTTAACATTTAACACATTAGTAAGACCTGTGTTTATCATTTGTTAAAGGTTAATTCAGTATAAGTTATAGATTTTACAAAATTCTAGGAGGAAAAAATAAACTTTTATATTACTCACATGGACTTTTACTCGTCAGTTTGCATTTTCGAATGTCATTGGCAAATTATATACATAAATGTGATATAGGTATTTAATATTTGACTTACGTGCATGATATAACCCTTAGGTTAAACATTTTTTGCATCAATTAGACATTAACATACTAATCCACTTGTAAGCAGTAAAACTACGTGAATTTTCATTTTTAAACTTTTACTTTAACACGAACACAGTTTACATCAATTTAAACAAACAAGTTTATGCCATATTATATTTTTACAGTCAATGCCAGTCAATGGAGTCAATGCAAAGAACTATGCCTGTAAGTTGGTAAATAGCAGGAAAGAATGCAGTGTCATCTTGTGTCAAAATATAAAATAATTCAATCAATATAATATATCATTTATCAATTTAATATAACGAAAGATTAAAATTATAGCTATAGAAGGTATGAATTTATTAATAATATGAAGGGATATTTATTATTACTTTTAAAAACTTAAAATAATTAAGTACTTAATCATGTATAGATCGTTATGTGTGCCTGGAGTCTGTGGATCGTTTTCTTTCGTATTATTTCTAAAAAATCGTACCATATCCCATATTATTCAACAAAAATAAAAATATTAAGTAATACATTAATAAAGAAAATATATAATTTTCGTTTCCGCAGTATAGTAATATTGTTGGAATAAAATCGAGAGTAACAAAAATAATATATATTTCTCATAAAAGTTTAAATCTAGATAATATGTAAGTAGATAGATTGTATAGTGCAGTGATTAGCTTTCCATGAGATAATATTATACCTACCTCATGAGAAATCCACACAGATAAAAGTTGGCGCACATCAGCAGTTGTCTCGGCCAGTAATTGTCTTCGCACACTGCGTTGAAACCTGACTCCACAATTGCAACATACACTTCTATTTTCATTGTATGCTGATCTAGCAGATTCCATTTTCTTAAAATCGCATATAAATACAAAAAAACAGTAGCGTAACGAACGTCAATGCCGTTAAGATTAAAGACGTAGGTAATACCCCGCCGCCCCGCCCCGCCGTACCCGGCCGCCGGCCGCTGGGAATTACCGGAAGTCAATGATAAAATAACGTTTTGGTTCACAGTCATTTAGAACTATGTTATAACGTGATATTAGCTAAAATTTTTAGAAATTAAACATAAAGTTCTTAGTGGTATCTTTTTTAAGTCAGCTTTGTGAAAAAATAGTTTTCTTTTTATACAAGCTGCAAAATGACTAATTAGGTACACGCATTTTACCCATATTACACTAATCAGAACACGAATATCAAAACAACTAATTTTTTTTTCGTATTTCTTGATTCCGTTTACATTTTCGAAAAATCTGTAGGCCATTTACTATTATAATTTGGTGTCTTTTTTTTGATGTAATACCATTAGTGGACGTTAATATTTTTAGTGGGCCCAAAAATGATTGTCCCCTTTAGCGCTTGCAAACGTGTGTGGAGTTGAGTGATGAGTTTGTGTAAAATATTATTAGTTGATATTTAGTGATTATTTTATAGTAAACTGTGGTGGCCAACTCACTTGCCAAGCGTGGCAACTATGGTAAATGTATGAGGCAGTCTATGGGGAAGGATTATGTTCGGCAGTGGTCTTTTAATAGGCTGTAACGGTAAAGTTATGCTGTGTTTTGTGGCATTTCTTAGAGGAGTCCTATGCTCGGCATTGGGCTTGTGAGGGCTGTAAAAATCACGACGATGATCATGATAAGGTGGTGTGGCTGCCTCCTTAAGCGTTCCTCAACCTGGCAACGTTTAACCCTTGCACCCTGAGGACTGATGAGAAGATTCTTGAGCCGGAAGAAGAGATAAACAACGCTGGTATACTGATTGCATCGTACAATCTGCCACTTGGTATTGCGTACGTAAACTATGCCTCTGACTTTGACAGTTCTTTCAGCAATGCTAAGTTGATAGTGGGTATATGGAAGTGCTGAAGTGTTTGTACAGAAGGGCTACAATGGCTATTCGAGCACAAGACTAGAGTACTAAACCTACCCTACTGTAGAGGTGTGAGGCAGACTGACTTTATATCCCTGAAACACGTCACCGCTGCATTGGAATTTTCAAGCTACTTAACTGGAAAGGATACGGTAGTAACATCAATGACAAGTGCATCACTCGCTTTTGATTTAGTCCTTTTGCCTAAAACACTAGAGAACCTCAGAGCTCCACCACTCTGGGACCGGCTTTACGAAAAACTTGATTTTTAATTCATTTTCACCAACAAACGATGCCAGTAAATGTATATAACTTTTTCGTAGTATTAATAATTCCGTACAAAAATAATAAATAACGCGCAAAGCAGGAAATATAAAAAATAATTCAATATATATATATATATATTATAATTTGTAATGGGTGCTAAATTGTTTGTAGTATATTGTAGCAACAAAGAAAAGTTTTTTTTTCTAAATTCCTTTCATTTAAAAACTACCGTATTAATTCTAAAATACCGGAGCTACGAAAAAAAGACACTGACATAAAAACTGAAAACGATCTGGGTGTTTGTAGCAGTATTCATGTGTTTGTAGTATCTGTTAAACTCTTCTTATAACTGCAAAAAAATAAAGTGTTAAAATTTGTTTACCTAGGACAAATAGTCCGACTAGGTAAGTCTAACTTCGAAAGAGAGGTCAATCGAAAGATTTAAATTGGCATTCGGAAGGTGACGACACATCTTCTCGTCAGGTATACCTCAAAACTTGAAAACAAGATTGTTGACACGTATTAATTGACGCTCAACGAGCTATGGAGATGGCTGTGCTCGGATTTTCTCTACATGATAGACTTAGTAACAAGTCCAACGAATTATTAAGCTGAATTTGCAATGGGCCGGCCATATAGCTCAAGAAACCGATAGAGAAGAAAGTTTGGCAGCCGCGTATCGCTAAGCGAAGTTTGGCGGTCAACCACATAGAGTGACGACCTGGTAAGACATGCAGGAAATCATTGGATGTTTAGGACAGTTGGTTCCTTTAAGAGTATTTTTTTAAGTCTGATAGAGTTCGTTAAACGTGTAAAATAAATTTTAGTAAGGTTGACTATAGGGCCTTAATGATTTTAACAGTGTGTTCTTAAAATTGGTTAAAGGTTTTTTAAGTTTTACCGATTACGAACCAAAATTTTGGTATATGATTTTTGATTATATGATCATGGATTTCATAAAAGGAAAACACGATAACATGACATTTTCTCGGTAGAAATAAAAGTGCAAAGTAGGCTCTAATTAGTTAAATTTTTCCATGAAAACACAATATTTTTACGAAAAAGATCATGGAATCATTTTTAAGGTATAGTAAATAATCATATCTAGGTTCTCATAACCTTTTTTTTAATCCATAACAAAGATTCGTTAAAAAATGTTGTTTGGTGCTTACTTAGTTTTTTCCGAGCGCATGTTAAGTATAGTTACCTCATAATCATGTAGTCATTGCATCACTTTCATTTGGACACTCCCTCAGTCGTCCGTGAGCTTCGCCGACAGAGGGATAACCCACTCCCCCAAAACTACGATTTATTTTCAAGGTACCCTCTTAATGGTATAAACGTTTTTTTCAGATTCGGAAGACGAATGCCCTTTTTGGCGGCGGTATTCATACAATTAGTTTCTGGTGTCGCAACGGCATTCTCCGTCAATTGGTATATGTTCACCACGCTTCGTTTCTTACTAGCGGTTGCTACGGGCGGGACAATGGTCAGCAGTTTTGTTCTAATAATGGAAATCATTGGTGCAAGATACAGGGAAACAGTCGGCATCTTATATCAGATACCATTCAACCTTGGTCACTTAACTTTACCACTTTTTGGTTACTTCCTCCGTGATTGGAGCACGTTCCAGCTGGCAATATCACTACCATCAGTCTTATTTTTAAGCTATTACTTTATATTACCTGAATCACCAAGATGGTTGTTAACAGCAGGCAAAGCCAAAGAAGCCACCATTATAATGAAAACCGCTGCAAAGAGGTTAGTTAGAAAAAATATATCTTAGTAAAATAATTGTTCAATAATTATTTATATGGTATAATTTAAAAAAATATGAATAAATTACACCTTCAAATGTGAGTAACTATAGTCAACCAAATCTAAGAATTACCTTTTGACGTTTCACATTAATCTTTCCGCAATAACTTTGCACACGATTTTAAAAAAACCTTTTACGTAAATCCGAAGAATTATGAAGTTATCTATACTTCATTACAACGTGTATAGTTTTTTATCACTAATTTGAATTAGAATCTTTCAAACAAATCAAAATATTAAAAAAACACAACCAGCATCAACGTTTTTACTTGACGTCGTTTCAAAAATATTTCGCTATGTACCTTACCGTAGTGTTTGGATGATTAAATCATTGTTATGCGAATAATCGGCAAAAATATTAAAATAATCGGTAAAAATATTCAAATAATCGAATCATAATTTTTTTTAAAGTAATATTTGTTTAATTAAATTTTTATTTTTAAAATTCCTTAAATTACATGAATCATGAATAAAACAAGTTAATTTTATTTTTACTTTGAGAACGTAAATTTATGTAGGCAAAAAAACTTACAAAGCCGCGCTAAAAAAATCACTACGTAATTTCAATCTCCCGCCATTGCGGGAGCTTACTGTGCGTAATTTTGTGATTTTGTGTCTGTCTTCTTATTTTGTTACTCGGCTTTAACTTTTTGGACTGTTTATTCTATATTCGTTAAAGCATGAGCCCATGTCACAAAGGATGATTGGGCAAAAGTGGTAGAAAAAACCAAAAAATTGATTATGAATGACTTTGAAAGAGACATTAATATAGACCGCTTTATTGAAAATCAAATAATAATTAATCTAAACAACGACAGCTCAACTAGTTGTACTGAAAGTGATTAAATAAATTAAATTTTAATCTAGTTTCAATCTTAAATTTTTATAACTTTGCTTGTAGAAATAAGCAGTAACAACAAATACGAAGAAACTGATAAATCTTGTGTTTTAAATTATCCGTTTTTAATTTATTTTTGTATTATATAAACCAAATTGTAAATGATTACCAACTCTAAATAATCGATATCGATTTTTTTACGAATCGGATATTGAACGTTCCCATTTTTTTGGTTGGCATGCTTGGTGCAATAAGTCTGACAGCTGTCAAAATGTATTTCTTACATTTGGTTGACACTAAGTACTATGAGTAGAATTTTTTCGCGTTTTTAATTTTGTGTGATTTTTATTTTTAAGAATTGCAACCCTATTAGTATTATGTCAAAGGAAAAGGATAATTACATATCAATATTTAATTTTTCTTTTCCTTTGAAATAATAATAATAATGAACTTTGAAATGAGTACCCACTAATACTAATCTACTTACTGAAATTGAAAACTTACGTAATAACAATAGCTTAATTTCTATTGTAGGAATGGATTACCAACAGACAACATTGAATCGTCAACACAAAAGATAGTGGCAGAACTAAGCAGTGCGAAAAAAGAACACGTCTCGTTTTTAGCTCTTTTCCGCACGCCCAAGTTGCGCGCACGCACAATTGCTATTTGTTATAACTGGTTTGTTTGCGGATTGTGCTTTTTTGGAGTCTCGCAGTACATTGGACGTGTCTCTGGAAATATTTTCTTCAATGTAGCAATTTCAGCTGCTATACAGGTTAGAATTTTTAATATGCTACAATAAAACATATCATAATTTGAGAAATAAATTACAGGTAAACACCCCAATTATGGACAGAAAAAAAATTGTGGTGTTTGTGAATTTTTATCAATATCGTAAAAGTTACGGTACTGAATATACTTAAAGTGTGAAAGTCCTGTCCATAGGCAATATTTTTACTGTGTTACGCGTGAGATACTGCGAAGCTGGTTTTAATTTTCTTAACAATTAAAAATCCTAGTTTTTTACCCAGTCATGGACAGCTAAAAACCAGTTGTGGACATCCAGTAATGAACATAACCTAGTCATGGACATCCAATGATGAACTTAAACCTAGTCATGGACATCCAATAATGAACTCGAACCTACTCTTATACATTTAGTACCTACTTATGACTACATTTATAATATTATGACCTAATCGCAGAATCTATGATGAATGTCAAGATGTAGATAATTTTAATTATTGAAAAAATAAAATGCAGTAGAATAGTATAAATATTTATTTTTATTTTTAACGAACTTTTTCTAAATTGACGATGTAAATTTTCTAAATTGACAATCTGATTAGCATTAAAGAACTTCCCTATCTAAAAGTAATTTACGAACATGAACTTAATCAGCCTTCATAATTACATTCATTATTAATTAACTAATACTTTTTTAAAAATCTATGATATAATTAAGCAACAATCGAACATAAACATAATCAGCCTTTCTTAAATTCTTTTAACTCAAAATATTTCTGTAAGTAGGTAAATATTTTTTGTATGTACCTACATACGTATGAAATATATATCAGAATCAACAATAAAAGTTTCTTATTTATGTTAATCATAAACTCGTCTTTGTTAATAAAAAACACAATTATCTTAATAACTTAGTTAAGTATTCAAAAAGTAAAAATTGAGTATTTTTGGATCTCTTCTACACTGTAAAATCCTCTTTTGTTAATTAATTTTGGAGGACGGATGTACTCAACGATGTCTTTGCTTTGGTACCAGATTTTATCTGGGTTTTCTGGCCATTTATAGGTGTTTCCTGTTGAAAATGTCATCGTGCTTACTTCAAATTCATTTTTAATTCTATTTTCAATGACCCCAGGAAAATGTTGTCCTTCATATAAAATTATAACGTAACTTCCTTTTGATAATTTATGTTGAGAAGAAACTGACGTACTCAACGGCGCGTCATCCGATTCCGATCCTCCAGACAAGATACTTTCATCACTTTCGGCGTAAATTATTTCAGTTTCAGTGTCAGAAGACTCGGATCTATTTTTTTTTGCTTGGTAACTTTTTTCTCCTTGTATTCTCAAGCCTTTTTTTTCTTCTCTTTTTTTAGCTCGCAATTCCTTCTCGTCTATTTGTTTCCTTTTCTGTTCTTCTTTTTTAGCATGATAGGCCTTCCATGCAGGACTTGTAACTGTAAATGGTATTTTTTCTTTTAATTAACGTTTTTTATTTTTTTCTGTTTCGTCACTTTCAGGTCAAAATAAGTTTCGTTTAAAAGGAGATGGAATCACATAGTTTGAAGTGCCAACATTAACTATTTCAATAGGTATTTTGTGACTGCGTCTTGGTAAAGAATCATCTCGTATATATATCGTATATATATTATCTTCTTGGCCTACATTTTCCATATTCGAAGAATTGAGACCTGAAGTTTTTATGGACAAGCAATTCGTTTGTGTAGAAGTGCTAGGTTCAGAATCATCAAAATTTGCACTGCAATACAAATCAGGATTTGTTCGGATTTCTTTAGAAGACTCGTTGGAATTTGGATTATTAGTTCCTGGTGAAGGATTTGACGTATCAACCGGGATTGTGGATGTTAACTGGTGATCTTTGGACAAACAGTTGGTATGTGCAGAAGTGCTGGGTTTGGAATCATTAATATTACAAGACAAAACAGGAATTGTTTGGATTTCTCTTGGAGAATCATTGGCATCTGGATTATTCGTAACTGATACAGGATTTGAAGATTCTTCATTTACTACGTCAGTTTGCTTATTGTTGGCCCAAATCAAATATAGAGATATGTCTTCATTAGGCAAAAGTTCTTCTAGCTCAAGGCGACTTTTGTAATAAAGAAATTTGTATAACTTCAGCTTGTTTTTAGACAAAATGGTTTCAATTTTGTTTTCTAAGCTTTTCAAAAATCGTTTTGGCATGTAGAGTCTTGAGTATTTTTTCGGTTTTGACTCTTAAGGTTCTCTCTTCGGTTTTGGTCATGTCAACGAACTCTGGGCCAAATGGGTACAGTCCCCCTGCGTGAAACCCATTTCTCACTGTCTCGGCAGAAATTTTCTCTACGGCTGTCTTCAAGAGTGGAGCAAAATGTTGTTTTTTAAGGACTTGTCCCAAATGTTGATTTTTCCAATTTTTTACCGCTTCTCGCCATAACGACTTCAGAGTCCTGAATACTGCCAAATCCATAGGTTGTAAGATATGCGTAGAATTTGGGTTGAGTGCTATGACTTCAATATCATTCTTAGAGCAGAAATTAGACAGGTGCAAAGTTAAATGTGACTTATGTCCATCCAAAAAGAATATAATTGGTCTTTCAATTTTTTTAATCAGCCAAGGATGTTATATATTCGTAGAATGTCCCTGAGCACATCCATCCACTTTCTGAACGACCAATGGCCCAGTCATCGGGAAAATTTTCTGAAACTAATGACGGTATTCTTGCATATTTCCTGTAATCAGAACGGTCAAATTTTCTTTATCGTCGCCTGAAGAAGCATACACCTTTTCTAGCGAGAATATGTCCTGGTTTTGGATTTAAGAAAAATGTACTTTCATCTGTGTTAAAATTTCTTTCAGGATGTTGCATTATTTCAATGAGATTTCTGTCTTTGAGATCACTCTCTACTTCCGAAAACCATTTCTCTATGTCTTCTTGGGTAACATTGTCCCTTGTTGTACACAAATTTTGAGCTACCCGTTCAGCAATCGTAGGACGTCGTTTTAGAAATGATGTGTACCATTTCTTGCCAGGTCTATTATCTATGAAAGGGGTTTCTTGTTTTTTGTCGATTATTATTCGTTGGACAATGTCCATTGAATCCTCTTTTGTTACGGGTATATGTTTATCTAACATTTCTTTGATCCAGATTTCTAAAATGTTTTCTTCTTCCTTACTTAAAATGGTGCTGGGTCCCATTGAGCACTCAATCGGACTTTTACCAGTAACTTTGTTGTGCAAGGTTATTCTAGGTACATTGAACTTTTTGGCTGCTTCAGATATTTTAACCCTTTTTTTACTGCATCAATAGCCCAGCCCATTTGTTGAGGCGTATAATCTTTTTAGGAGCCATTTCTAAAACAAAGAATACGTATCATTTTTACCAATGTCCATAACTGGATTCCTGTAAAATAACTAATAACGGACACATACGTTCATAACTGGTATACATCAGTATTTTTCAAATTTACAACTAGCTTATAGCAACTAATAATAGTCAGAGTAAAATAAGTTAAAAATATGAATATATCAAGATGATATTAAGTTTCGACATCTGTCCATTTTGGAACCATTTAATTACAATGCACCAGTTAAAAACATCAATAAAATATCAACAATCATAACCTCTTTGGAGTTACAACAATGTGCGTTGTCGTCTTAATTTCATAGTTAACCCAACAGATAAAACACATTCTGATTAAAACAAAGCAATACCAGTTTACATATAAAACTTTCTACTCACCGCACTAACAATTTCCTTAAGAAAAATCGCTAATATCAATTTACAATCACAGAAACACTGCACTCACGCCATCTTGTCTATCTGACAAACCGAATTGAATAAAACGTTACTTTGACAGCTAGTTGTCTATAGTCTATGTCACAGTGTTGCCAATATAAAAAATGATTTATGTTCTTATTCAAGAAGATTATTTTATTTTTTGTCCATTATTGGTTCATTGTCCATTACTGGTGCCTTTACCTAAAACTGATTAATTTTTTTAAATGTTTTTTAGTCTCAGTAAAATTCATTCATTCATGCCTATTTTATTCAAGCATATCATAAGTCCATTGATAAATTTAGACTTCCCCCACAGATTAACTCATAGAAGGGATATACACCACACTTGCCACGCTTGACAGATGGTTAGGCACCCGCGGCTATTATTTTTAGATGTTATTAGTAAGACGCTGCTGCCGCCTATCTCCTGTTTCAATATCCCTCTGTCGCTCGTTACGGGATGACACGAGGTAGTGGGTTCTCTTACTACGCCACTACATGGCTATTTTTTATATTCTATGAAATAAACATATAAAAGAAATTTGCTATTCTATTCACACCTAGCACTGCATATACTATTAATAGTTTCACTTTCTATTAAACGCTTGCATTCCATTCACGAAGAACTTTCGTTTTTGAATTATTTTGGGAGGAAACTTTTATGAGAAATTAAAGCTACAAGCGTTAATTTCACTTATAAAATCTCAATTCAAGCCAGGATGAAAGTATGAAGGAAAAGTTACATTACAGGTTATGTATACCTATTGTGTTTTTATTGGAATGTTGTGTGGGTAGCTAGCGCGGGCGGTGATCTTTACGGTGATTACGTCACTCGGGCGCATAGGGTATCCATGAATTTACGGACGGTGTCGGACAGAAACTTTTTAAATTTTATGAAAGAAATTAGTGTTTTTTTTTATTCATTGAATTTACGTTCTATAAGTGAAACCAAACCACTGGTTTCAAGGATAATGGTGTTTACACTAACATCCTGTATATATATACGTATAATATTAACAAATGTGGAACATGATTTCGTCCCGTGTACGGTTTAACCGTATTATATATATATATATATATATATATATATATATATATATATATATATATATATATATATATATACACAACATGTAACAAAAACCCTGTGGTTCCCTTTAACTGCGTTATCAGAGTCAGTATCCATGCATGTAGAAACAATTTTTTTCAAAAAAAAAAACACATTTAAAAAAAATTATTATAATATAAATTTTTTTTTGCGAATTGTATGTGGTTTTACTATCTCTGCATTGGCCGAGGAGTAAGAGGATTGTCAAAGACCCCGCATTACCGATACTCGTGTGAGTTAGAGGAAATAAAACCAAATACAACTTGCAAATTAATTTTTTTTTCATTAAAAATAAATATTTTTAAATTTTTTTTTTGGAAAAAATTTTCCATACGCTTAAATACTGATTCTGATAACACACCTAACGAGAAACACAGGGTTTTTGTTATATGTTATATATATATACAGGTTGTCCGGTTTCCGATGTCCGATACTTTAAGGGGTTAAAATACAATTAATTTTATCGACAAATCAGGGATCAATGATTTTTTTCGCAATCAATAAAAAAATGGCAGCACTTTAAAAAAATTGTTGGCGAAGCATAGATGCTTGTATTAATTTATCAATATCTACCCAAGTAGAAGACTTTCAAAAACAAAATTGGTCTCAAATGTTAGTTAATAGTGATACAATAAATCTAGATTCAAAATATTATTTTTTAATTTTTCAGTATTAGTAAAAAACATTTTTGAAAAAATAAATTAGACAACAAATTGATGTTGTTTTTCAGATTCTTAGCTTTAAAAAAACCATCGTGTTAACCAATTTTTTTTACTTGTTTTTATTATAATACAGGATATTTGCTATAAATGCACATTTAAATCTTAACTCTGAGTTAGATAGTTTAGGAGCTATGACAGTGTAAACATACTTACTTGAAAAGCGCGGATACACTAGCAAATGAAATAAAACAAAATAATTTATATCAATTGCATTTAATTTGGCAAAATAATTACAAAAACTGCTCAAAGTGACCTCCTTGTCTCTGCAGACATGCTGTTGCTCTTAGTGCAACGTGTTGCGTAGAGCGCTGGATCATTGCCTTGTCTTCTCGCAATTCGTTTGCTGCTTGAATTATTTTTTCTGCTAACTCCTCCCGTGTATTTGGCACATTTACATACACTCTTCGTTTGAGTGTGGCCCACAAAAAAAAATCGAGAGGTGTTAAATCCGGCGACCGCGGTGGCCAAGCAATTGTTCCTCCGCGTCCGATCCACGACGAATAGTATGCATTTAAATGATTCCGCACAAGAAGCGCGAAGTGTGCCGGAGCACCATCCAATTGCAGAATCATTCTGGCCCTGTAGGCCAATGGTAACTCCAATAAAGCATCCAAAAAATTCGTTTCCAGGAAATTTAGGAATCTTGAGCTATACATTGTCTCCGGTAAAATGATTGGTCCAATTAGAATGTCGTCAATCATTCCGGCCCAAACGTTGACAGAAAATTTATGTTGAAAAGAACTTGGGCGGATCGCATGTGGATTTTCTTGAAGCCACAGGTGTTCGTTACGGTAGTTCGTATACCCTGATCGCGTGAAAGTAGCTTCGTCTGTCTACATAATTCTTTTTAAAAATATTGGATCATATCGCGTTTCTCTCAATATCCACGAACAAAATATTGCTCTTCTTACATAATCCGGTTCCAGTATTTCTTGCACCCTTCGAAAATGGTAAGGATGTAATCCTTCTCTTTTTTAAATTTTCCACACCGACCATTTTGATAGACTGAGACGATTAGCTATGCGTCTAATGCTCAGGCTAGGGTCTTGAGTAATCAATTGCAATATTTGATGTTCATCTTGGAGCGACAAAACACGAGTACGTTCGTTACCGAGCCTTCTTATTCCATTTTCCGCAAGTCTCAAATGAATTCTCACGAAAGTGCGAGCATTCGGCGTACGTCTGTTAGGAAATCTGCGTGCATACTCTACAACAGCTCTATTTGCACTCCCGTTACACAATCCATACACGAAATGGATGTCAGCGATATGCTGGCTTGAGTACTCGTTCATTGTAATAAACAAAAAGTAACAGTTCAACAACAAAACAAAAAACATAACAAAGTCTAACAACAAACAATAATTATGTACAGTAAGTAGATTTACTTAAAACCAGGAATGTTATCACAACGCAGAGCGAGGGACGACTGCTCGACGGCACAAGCGCACACTGCACCCTTTTTTACCTGGAGACAGCCGTTATTCTGTCTCGCTCGCACTGTTGTGCACAGCGTTTTTTACCTGCTCACACAAAGGATGCTATTGTGCTTGCTTACGATTCCTTGAATTATTGAAGAATTTTATCTTACTCACTGGAATGGGTGTTTACTTATCTAATATCGGGGTAGAGGCACTTTGAACAGTTACATTCAAATTATCATAGCTCCTAAACTATCTAACTCAGAGTTAAGATTTAAATGTGCATTTATAGCAAATATCCTGTATTATAATAAAAACAAGTAAAAAAAATTGGTTAACACGATGGTTTTTTTTAAAGCTAAGAATCTGAAAAACAACATCAATTTGTTGTCTAATTTATTTTTTCAAAAATGTTTTTACTAATACTGAAAAATTAAAAAATAATATTTTGAATCTAGATTTATTGTCTACACTATTAACTAACATTTGAGACCAATTTTGTTTTTGAAAGTCTTCTACTTGGGTAGATATTGTTAAATTAATACAAGCATCTATGCTTCGCCAACAATTTTTTTAAAGTGCTGCCATTTTTTTATTGATGGCGAAAAAAATCCTTGATCCTTGATTTGTCGATAAAATTAATTGTATTTTAACCCCTTAAAGTATCGGACATCGGAAACCGGACACATTGTATATATATATATATTTATATACCGTATGGATGATGCCATACGTCTATTTAGGATCGTCATGATCACAGCTAGTCACCAGTCCACAGTTGAACATAGGCCTCCCCCACGGAATGCCACAAAACACGATCCTTAGCCACCTTTATCCATCGACTTCCTTAATATTATCTCCTGTCCTCCATCTAATGTTTAGAATAAGATAGAATATTATCAATAGAAAAATTAATATATTAATGTTTCTTTTGTGCTTCATTTTTTTTCTGTAACCGCTTTCGACGTTATATCACTGCCCTAAGGTTGACTGGCATAGAATGATTTAAGCACTAATTCCAACTTTTGTTCCTATACATTGTTAGGTTCCGTAAGGAATAAATAAATATTTTAAAGTTGAGATTTATTGTGAATACTAAATAAATCCCTCAAACAAATTTAATGTTATATAAACTTGCTCAAAATATGGTATTTTGAGTTAAGTAGTATACTATCTTTTGCAGTTACATTATAAGTTTTTGTATTTTTTTTCAGATTCCTGGCACTATCATTTCGATATACGCAAATAGAGTTTTGGGTCGAAAAGTAACCTTGATGAGTTCCAATTGCGTCACGGGACTCAGCTGTTTGCTTATCATGTTTGTTCCTGACACAGGCGCATATCACTTAACTCTCGGCTGCATTGGCTTGTGGGGCATGAGTTTTTCTTTCGCAACCGTCTATTTGTATGCCGGAGAACTGTTTCCAACCGTCGTGAGGAACTCAGGTGTCGGATTAGCATCTATGGTGGCAAGGATAGGTTCCATGGTAGCACCATTTGTAGCTACTTTAAGAGAAACTTATTTTTGGATACCTCCTTTAGCTTTTGGTATTGTTCCTATAATAGGAGCAGGTCTTTGCATACTTTTACCAAATACTCGTGGAAAAAAACTTCCGGACACATTAGAAGAAGGTGAAGCGTGAAAATTATGATTATAATATACTTTAATATACATAACATTTTATGAGGCTAATTTTTTGTATTTTATATGTAATTTATTATTTTTGGACATATGTTCTAGTAGTTAACAAAGAAAAAAGTTTATGTTTATAAGAATGATTTATGCTAAATATCTTAGATATTATTATTGAATTTGTATGAATAGGCTGTGATACGTTTAATAGGTGAAGCCGTGGTAGCTCAGATGTTTAGCGCTCGCTGTAAATTTCATGGTACGCGAGCAAATCGGGTTCGATTCCCGCCGGCACCAATGAAATTGTTAATTGCAATTTTAAGTGCTGATTTACCACGTGCTCGGCGGTGAAGGAAAACATCACAAGGAAACCTGCATGTCTTAGAAATAAAAAATATTTCGTAGACATGTGAAATTCGCCAACACGCATTGGGGCAGAGTGGCGGACAATTCCTTGCCCCCAAACCCTCTCTGAAATGAGCAGAGGCCTGTGCCCAAGAGTGGGACCTATATAGGCTGTAACTTTAACGTTTAATTCCGTCAATGACCAAGAATGTACGGGCATTTCGAACACAGCTTGCGTTCGAAGAAGATCGCGCAGAGAATATAGCCCTGGGTTTTAGATATGACATGCCGTAATAAAATCTGCCAACTATACTGATAGTTTCTTTCTACGAAAGTATTTATTAGGTAACTAGAGAGATAAGTGTACGATTGTATGTATGAATGTTTATATGTAGGTACCTTATTTTGAAAAAAATACCTACTACATATGCCAGTCACTGCGCAATTAAGATTACATAACTAAATATACTCGTTTTGGATTTTGTAGGTACTTTATTGGTACTTGAATAAAATAAAATTACGAAGGAGATTTAATTATCGTAAAATAGCGAATAAATAATTAAATAGAAAATAGAGAAAATCCTTACCATCCTTAGTTATAACTTTTATGCTTAGATACGATACTTTGAGTACCGAACGATAAGCCTGGTTAAGGCTTTTGTATTTTTTCTAATAAACAAATTAATAGTAAATTAATAATAATATTAGAAATGTGAAAATGAGTTTGTTTGTTGCGATTTTACTCCCAACATACTGTTATGAAAATCGGCTTGTTTAGTTTAGTTTTGGCTTGGAAAATAGAGAAGGGGTTATGTCCTTTAAATGTAGAAGTTTGGAGTACAAATCATTTTCTGAGCTCTTTTAGCTGCATATTTTCTTGATATCCATTGTCGAGATATGTTTAAGCTCACAAACTTGAGAAATATGGACATTATAAAATAAAGTAGTATACTGGGAACGTTCATAATAATAATTAGATGCAATGTAATTATTGATTTTTTTACCCTAGTTATCAGATAGGAATAATAATGTTTTTATATTGCTCTCGATGTCGCGGATTATTAGGTACCTATATGTTTTGATATTTTACTAATAAAATGTACATCGACTCAAACAATGATAAAAATTTCAGGCTATTGTAAAATATGATATATATTCGTTCGCCTTAAGTGGAACTGTTTTACATATTTAAAATATTTTTGAATTTTTGTGCATAAAGAGCTTACCGCGATTTTTGTACAGGTTATCCCAGAAGTGGACGTCAAGCCGGAATCGGGTGATAGGTGAAATCACAATAGTTAACTAAAAAATATAAGAAAAATATCTTTACTATGTATTTTAAAAATTACTAGTTATATATAAAAAATCGAGAAAATCTACAACCTGCGATGGCCTTTTTAACTCCTGTTGCTACAAATGTCAACTATTCTTAATTTTATATTTATTATATAATCCTAAATAATGCTTCTGAAAACTGTTGCTAAAAATTTACAGCTAACTCGTCCAGTCCGTAATTTTTTTCCCAACCAAGTATTCATAACTTTTATTATTTATTTATAATATCATATATTTATATATACCTTGACCTATCCGATTCCGGCTTGACGTCGACTTCTGCGATAACCTATATAGCAAATATGTTCCCTCCTTGACTGCAAAGATCTGCTATATTTTATAATTTAGAAGATAAATTGGGTAAGGGTAATTTTTAATTGAACAAGTAACACTTAGGTTAGTGAACGGTTAAATTAAATTTTTGCATGTTTTTAACTATTTAATCAATAAAAATATAACGTATATTATTATAACGTATATTATTATATTATAGATTTAAACTTTACGAAACATAAGAAATAGATCTCGAAGTGTCACATTTATCATTCCGCAATAACTTTGTACAAGCGTACTTAAACGTAAGGTTACACTATTTAAAATAACCTTTTACCTAAATCCAAAGAATTAAGAAGTTATCTGCATTTCATTACATTTAATTTAAATTTCTTAATCAGTAATTTAAATTTGAATCTTTCAAACAAAGCAATCAATTTTTTTTTTTGCGTGACGTTGTTTCAATGATATATATCGTTATGTAATTGGTTAATAGTTGGGACGATTCAAATTCATGCGAATTCAAATAATCGCTAAAAATATTCCAATAATCGAACATTTTTATTTATTATTAATTAAAGCTTTTATTTAAAAAAAATGTTTATATGATATGAATCATGAATAAATCAATTCTAGATTTTTGTAATTTCCTAATTGTACTCAAACCTGTGCATTATGCTGCTCAGTCTCTCACCATCTTGGAAGTCAGCTTCCAAGATGAGTACTTTTGTGTATAACTAAATATAATAATTAATTTAAATAATGATGATAAAGGCAGCTCAAATAGTTATTGTAGTGAAAATAAATAAATAAATTTATTTTTAATTTAGTAGTCTTTAATTTATATAAATTTGCCTCTTTATAAGCAGTAAGCAATAAATAAGAAGAAACTGGCAAATGTGATTTGTTACCTGTATCTAATTTATTGTGGTATTATCTAGACACGGAATAAATAATAGTACTACGTAATCTAGATAAAACTGTAAATGATTACCAACTCCAACGATTTTTCATCAGAATGGAATATTCTATGTACCCATTTTTTGGTTGACATGCCTAGTTTTTTTATAGGAGAGGGGGAAAACGAGCATACGGTTCACCTGATTCCTACTATTTCACATAGAGGTCGTAAGTGAAAGAAAAATCCTAGTGAAACGTACAATGGTGGACCGCCAAGCATCCAGATGGTGTGGATGGTATCGGGAGTTTTGCCGCGTAGTACGTTCAAGCTCGTAGCTCTTCTTTGGTCCGTCTCCTGCTGGCGTTGACTTCGGGTACGGACGGAGGGTCCGTTTCCTCCTTAGGTAAAATCGGCACGATTTTATCCCACTTCTGACACCAATTCTTACGAGCTTGAGGTTCGTGACAATAAAAACTGCCGATTTAATTACCAAAATTTACACTTTTATTACCGAACACCTATTAAATTTTAAAAGACACTAATAATTAATCACACTGATTCACTTTGTTTCGCTCCGAAGCTTCCATTATCTTGCCAAATTCATTACTGCCCATGAAACTTCCAGAATATTCCAGTAAATACGGGCGCCGATCGACCAGGCGCAGAAAGTTCGAGTGTGGGGCTTCTATAAAGCTTATTTCTTCTGTTCGATACTAGATGGCGCTGTTGGTGGAAAGTTCAAGATTGAAATTTTCTAGGAAGCCCTCCTCGCTCTGGTCCCCGACACTAGATGGCGCTAGTGTCAGGTACCAGACGTGAACTTAGGCCCGCAACAATATTTATTTATGTTTTATAGATATATTTAATAGGTAGTTTAAATTGAAATATATTCAATTGATAAAATACAAATTCATAAACCAAATATCATAACAATATATACTTTATAGTACTACAATGAAAAAGTGTAAATTAAAATAACATTAATAAAATCAAAAACAAAATATCAAAATTAAAACAGTGAACATATAAGCAAACAAATAAAAAAAATCATGGCTGACCGCGTCGTTGGTTTTGTGTTTGCAAGCGCAACTTCTGATTATGTATTCATTCCGGGTTTGAATACTGAGTCGGACCAAAACTCAATTATTGTTTTTATTATTTCACTTTATTTGAGAGACCAACAGCATAACTGAGATAGATAATATAACTAACTCATATCCAAATAGCTATAGCATAGCTAATTAAAGATCCTCAATAGTAGAAAATATTGAATATACATATACATACATAAACTGTGACGCCTGTTACCCAGACACACACACACACACACACACACACACGCACGCACGCACGCACGCACGCACGCACGCACCGCACGCACGCACGCACGCACGCACTCACGCACTCACGCACTCACGCACTCACGCACTCACGCACTCAAGCACTCACGCGCACACACACACACACACACACACACACACACACACACACACACACACACACACACACACACACACACACACACACACACACACACACACATAGTATTAATTGAGAATTCAATCTTATATTTCTGGGTCTCACAGAATACCAGCGTAAAATAGCAGCTTAATACTGCTGTGTTTCGTATGGTGAGTGTAGAGATCCGGAGACCCTTTTAACTGGAAACGAGGTATTCCATCCTAGTCCTCAGGTGTGACAATGAATCTGCGTTTCGATTCTTAATAGAGGTTAAATGTAGATGTCTACGGGCCACGGCATCCACTTACCATCAGGTGAACTGTGTCCTCGTTTGTCACCCTTATTCTATAAAAAAAACAACCGAGACCTACGTCGAACAGTAGACTTTTACGGACCGATTAAGAAGAAATTGAAAGGATTGAAGAAGAAAAAAGCGTGACCTCAGAACATTGCTCTGTACAGTCCAGGTTGGATCGGTCTGTGTATTGCGAACATCGGACTCACCAAGGTCGCGGTACGATGTGTACAGATTAGACCGTGTAAATTCTAGAGTACAAAAAGTTCGCGCTATCGTCCTCTCGTTCACTAATCGCATGTTAGGTAATAGTAAGATTTTTATTCGATATTTTAAAGTTAAGATAGTAAATATTTTACTTTAGACATATTCACTGGTACAAATTTTTGTACAAAAGAAG